CTGGAAAATAAATGGCATTGATTTTCCTAGATGCGCAGAAAGCATTTGACAATGTTAATTGGTAATTTATGTTACTACAACTAAAATACATGGACTGTGGAAAGATTTATTAATATGATTAAAGCAATATATCACAAACACACTAAATATATCACAAACAGCTAAGGTGATGGTAAATGGGAACATGACACAGAACATTGATATAAAAAAGGCACTAGACAGGGATGTCCACTGTCCCCTTTGCTATTTATACTGACTTTGGACGTGTTAGCCAGAAACTTTAGACAAGATGAAGAAATAAAAGGAATGGAAATAAAAAAAAGAGAAATATAAGCTGCAGATGTTTGATTTGGTCTTTGTACTTGAAGACCCACTACAAACTGGATTGAAGCTAATTAGAAAGATAGAAGAATATGGGGAAGTTGCAGGACTCAAAATAAATAAAAAGAAAAGAAAATTTTTAGTTAAAAACCTCAGATACACAATAAAGAGTGTTGATGGAAATAATTGATATACAGATAGTAAAAAAGTGAAGTACTTAGGAATACAGCTAAAAGCAAAATGTGCAATGATTAAAGAGGATAATTATATGAAACTGATTAGATTTGGAGAAATTGAAAGATCTGCAATTGTCATTAACAGGAAGAATAGCTACTATAAAATGAATATTTTATGCAGGCTATTATATTTATTCCAAACAATTCCAATAAAATTTGGGGAAAATATTTTGAAGAACTAAATGAAATAATATTAAAATATATTTGGTTAGGGGGGGAAAGCAAGAATAGGTTTGAAAATGTTGAAAGACTCCAAAAAAAAGAGGGGGCTTTTGGTTGCCAGATTGGGAATTGTATTATCAGGCTTGGTACTTACATGGGTGAAAGAATGGATTAATTTGAGGCACAAAAGACTATTAACTCTAGAAGAACACGACTCTCAATTAGGTTGGCATGCTTTTTTATGGTATGGGAAGAATAAGATACCAAGCTACTTTCAAAGACATTATGTTAGAAATGCACTGATATCGGTATGGGTTAAAACTAAAGAACAACACTATCTAAAAATACCAGTCTGGCTTTCCACAATGTAAGCATTGGTACATCCTAATGTTATTAATATGGGGAAAAAATGTAAGATATAAAGATATTCTGAATGAAAAAGGGGAACTAAAAACTAAACAGGAACTCAGTAGTGAAGGGATGGACATTGCACGGTGGCCACATGCAGATACAATCGATATGAGAAAGATGCTAAAATGTATGGTTTTAATAAAGAATTAATAGAATTGGGCCAGATATTAACTGGAACGGATGAAAAACTGATAAAGAAAATATATTGTTACTTATTAAGTATTAAACTTGAAAGTGAGCAGGTAAAGGAGACAATGATTGTTTGGGTTAAAAATTTTGGATATGCAATAGAACTGGATAAATGGCAGAAATTATGGGAGAGAAATGTTAAATTGACTATATCAACTGCATATAAAGAAAATTTGTATAAAATATTCTATAGATGGCATTTTGCACCAACAACACTGGCAAAAATGTATAAGGATAGATCCTCTAAATCAGTGGTCCCCAACCTTTTTTGTACCAGGGACCAGTTTCAAGCAGAAACACTTTTTCAAGGACCGGGGGGGGGGGGGGGG